AATTCTAACTGCTGTTGCACTTGGCTTCTAGTATACGGGACCACGGAGATAAACTAGAGGTAACTTTGTGAAACAGTTTAAAGAAGCAACTCTTTTAGTTACACTGATTTTTGCTCCAAATTCTAAGTTTTCTCTCTTATTTCTTATTAGTCTAACTGATGAAATAGCACAGGCAAGCTTTCAGGCATACTAGTTCTCTTTCAGATATGAAGCAGAAACAGAAAACTGAAAATTAAGAGCATAAGTCACTGCATGCTTGAACACTCATGCTTCAGGGCAATCTGTCTGCTGACTTCAGTGTTAAGCTGGGAGATCATGTAACTGTAGCAGGTGAGAAATGATTGTGTTTTCCTAATTTTTCAGGCAAATGAGCTCTTAGGTGCTTTTCTACTGGCACAAGAGAAAAGAATTGACAGTGGAGAAAAGAGGTTGACATCAAGTCTGGGCAGACCATCTCTAGCAATACTCTGTGCTCAACACAAAATTGGGATTTATCAACATGATGCAGAACTTGCACTTAGGAATACTAATCTCAGTTTAGATTGCAAAGTGAACACATCATTTGAATCTATCATCTCTCTCCTCTCTGTGTTTCTGATCAACTTACCTATACAATTTCTGATGCCTGAACCCTTGATGTCCTTTCCCCTGTGTTTCCAGTCTGTTGTGCCTGTTTTTATAAGATATTACCATATTATAATCTAAGAAACGCAGGTACCTCACTGTTCTTGCTTGACTGTTGCTATAACACACTTGTTGCCTTTGTACGTTATCCTCCATCTATACCTCTTAGGACTACCATTCCCTACAGAAATTTCTCCTTGAGTTGTTCTACAGATTCCTTCTGTCTTTGACTTCCATTGATTCTAAGAGGATATGAGATTATTTAGAATCTTTGAAAAGTCTAGAATGTTTTGAAGTAGATATCTGAGAATGGATCTAAGTGAAGATGGGAAAAACCTACTGAAACTTATTTAATGACTAACGCATCACAACTCATCCAGTGAGAAACAGTGGTCACCATCTCCACCTTAGCGACTGCATAAAGGATGTAAGCTGTGATGGTTTTTATCTGTGAACAGTATTCTCAGTTTAACTGTGTCCTTATTTCTGAAACCATGAACAGTATATTCCCAGCAATTAAGTTTAAATTAAGAAATAATGGTGGCACAAAATGGCATGGAGCTCTAGGCTGCACTGCTGGGAGTGACCCTTTGAAAGAAAATGAATGGTCTCTGACATTCTTTCTCTCTTCATTGTAGCTTAACTGGCATCAATACAAAGGTTTACATCTGTATTAAAGATGTTGGTGATTGCTGAATGCATGATACATGGATGGCCATTATCATCTGCAGAGAGTTAGTGTACTATACATATAATCAATCAGTTTCTGTTCATGTCAGGAGCTGGCCAGCTCGTTACAGCCCGTATCACATTAACCCTTGCAGTGGAACAATAAAAAGCAGAAATATTGTGGAATATGTTGTAAAACTCAAGAAATGAGCCAACCTACCTAATTCTTGCCTGCCAATCACATTAAGTGCATAGATTTGTTAAACATCAACCCAGGTAGCCTAAACAGTTAGTGTTCAGCCACTCGTGTTTAGTTTGAACCTGTTTTAATCCCTTCTAATCACTTTATAGTGCATTGTGTTCCCTGTACTTCTGAATGAAAATGTCTGCGTAGACTGAACTTACAATTAGTACAGAAGAACAGTGTGGTCACAGTCAAATATGACTGCATATGTTATGGCTGTGAATATAAATTGTGGTAGCAGGCCACATTGGTGGAAAATTCTGAATTTTGTGTCTGGCAGAATGTGGCATAATCTCTGCATTGGTTTGGCCTCACCTCAATCACAGTGCACAGTTTTGGGTGCCACATTGTAAGAAGGACTTAAAACTATTAGAGAACATCCAAAGGAGGACTACAAAGATGATGGAGAGCCTGTAATTCTGTGATCTGACAGCAAGATGTATGAGGAGCAGCTGAGGTCCTGGGTTTGTTCAGCCCAGAGCAGAGGAGGCTGACAGGAGGCCTTATGGGGGCTGCAGGTCCTCATGAGGGGGAGCTCTGCAGCACTGAGCTCTGTTCTGTGGTGACAGCAACAGAACCTGACAGAACGGCATGGAGATGTGTCAGGGAGGGTCAGGTTGGGTACTGGAAAAAGGTTCTTCATCAGAGGGTGGTCAGGCCCTGGATTGGTCTGCCCAGGGCAGTAGGCACAGCTCCAGGCTGCCAGAATTCAAGGAGCACTTGGACAAGACTCTCAGACCCAGGGGCTGAATTTTGGGTAGTTCTTTGTGGAGCTGGACTCAATGATCCTTCAAGGGTCCATTATAACTTGGGATATTCCATGACTTTATTATATTTCTGATTGACAAGAGAGGATTCATTTTCCTGGTTAGAACTGGGCTGCTGTTCAAATTCTAGACAGTGTGATACTGGCTGAAATCTTGTAGATGGGTTTGAAAACTGGACCTGGTCAGTAGAGTAACTGGTGTCTTCTGATGTGCTTTCATTTGCCTTCTGTATGATGGACTGGTGGTAAAAGCTCTTGCCCAGGAAGTCAGAGGTGATGAGTGAAGAGCAGGAGGGAGCCTGACTCTGGTCCTGCACTGCAGGCTGTATCCAGACTGAGGGCAGAATTTGAATTCCAGACTGTGTTCTCAGTCCTCTGTTGTTCTATTCAAATGGCAAGTTATTGAACTAAAGTAAAAACACATTGAGAACATGGTTTGGAAGGGCAGGTTTGTAATTTGCAGATATTCCAGGAAAGTAAGCTGGTAAAATAATAGAGGAAATACTGCATTTGCTGGAAAAGTTAAACAGAAATTAAATAATAAAGCTAGTTCAGATGCAAGATACATAGATTAAGAGCATTTATGGACTGTATTAAAAGGAAATCAGATAATCAATCTTGTTTCATAATCTAGAAAAGACCTTGCTGCTCTACTGATGCTTCAGGACCATGATGCTGGCTTAACTGGTTGCAACAAGTATGGAATGAGGCAGATCTTCAACAATATCTAGAGAAAAGATTAGCTATCTGGAAATCAGTCATTTTGCTATGAATTTTTCAGGGAATAGGGAAAAAAAAAAAAAAACCAACAACAAAGAACATCATGTTTCAATGGTTGTGACAGAGTTAAATTAATGTGACTATGCCTTTCTATGCTCAAGTAATTGCCAGGCTTTACAGGATGTTGAACTTGCACTGAGGGATAGCCCATGCCCATGTCTGAGAAATCCAAAGATGTCTTCAGACATGCTCCCACCTCTTGAAATAACTGAGCTGAAATCTGAAACCCGATAAACAACCAGAGAACCTCTTAAAATAGCCTAAGTATTTTCAGTGAGCTGATGACATCTTTGAAACCGTAGTCAGGCTTTGCAATAGAGAGTAGTAAAACTGAAGCTTCTGGAAATGCAGACCCAGACCCTGGCACAGATGAGTGCTCCTCACCCTGGGTTTGGTTTACAATTGTTGGCATAATTTTTGAGTTACTAGAATTTCAAGAATAAGAAATTCTTCTAATCTAAACAAGTAAAATAGCACTATAAATATCATTTAATCTTCATTGTGACTAAATTAATTGAAACAAGAAGTTATTAAATACATTCCAATTCATTGCCATTGCTTCTCTTAAATTTTATGTGAAGCAAGAAGCTGCAGTTGAAAGCAGTGAAAGACAAAGGTCTCTACTGGGCCAAGGATGTGACACAGCTGTGAAAAAGAGAAAATATAAATCTCAGGCAAGATACTGCTGGCAGAAGCATTAAATAGAGAGGATTTTATTTTGTGTGGCACTGATATGACTTTAGCTGAATTTTTACACAATTTCATCTGCCTGGCTTAAAAAAACAAAACACAAAAGATTCAAAGTAGAACAGGTGCAGAGTATGATGACAAGATAATCAGTGGAAAAAGAAGCCTGCATCAAGAGAGCATTACAAAAAAAAAAAAAAAAAAAAAAGAAAGAAAAAAGATATATAGCCTGACTGATTAAAGTTGAGTAGGGATGTTAATATTCTTTATAAATACACTTTGTGGGTTAGGAGAGTGATAGTAAACATGATTGGGTATCTAACTCCGGAAGGCAGGCACACAGCTGAAAACTGACACAGCTACATTTAGGCTGAAATTTAGAGAATCATCTATACCCGTTGATACCTAACCCTAATCAGGGTCAAATCTTCACTGAGAAAGGGCCAAAAAAAAAAAAAAAAAAAAGAGGAAATACAAGAGAAGAATTAAGGTAGGAGAGGAATTGATGGAAAATGAAAATGATGCTTGTGCTCATCAGCAATTTTGCTGCTACAGTATGAAGCCTCAGACAGAACTGGTTAATTAAATGCATAGTTCATTAGAAATGTGCTGAGTAGCATTAATCTACAATTATATCTTTAGGAAAACTAAGCCAGATTTTGTGTGTGTGTGTTGTTGTTTTTTTTTTTTTTCTTTTTCTTTTTTAACTTTTATAAGAGAGAGGTATGGAAAAAAGCTTCAGGTTTCATGTCAAGGTCTAGTCATAGTAATAAGTCTGAATAGGACTGGTTGTTAAGACAGATGCCTGTGTGATACTGAAGTACAGCAGGGTTTATGAATAAGGTTCTTTTAACCTAAAAGTGGAAAAATGCTTCTCAGATTAATATCTTTACATTCCCGTGTTTCATTCACTGTACAGAAATGGTTGAGAGAAGTCAGCCTTGACAATGCTGTGTGCCAGAATCTGTCTCATAAAGACATCTTTCAAGCACTTGGGATTGTTAGTTTTTTAATGCCTCTAAAAGTAATATAGGAGAGAAACTGAAGACATTGCAGCAAGAGTCAAGGGCAAAATTGCTGAAGTAACTCCAATAGAAGAGGAAAATAAATTATTTCTTACTTTCTTTGGGAAAATTCATTACATTTCTCACCAGATTCAGTCTGGAAGCATAATTGCAACAAAGATACTCAAAGATGTTTCATAATTATCCTTTTATCTTTCATTCCCAGGTCTGTATTTACTTCCAGTCCCCATGAATTCACTGGAAGAATGGATGCCATTAGAGCTACCCAGCTTATGTGTCCCGAGGATCTCTTGCAGTTTCCTCACCAAAATCTCTTTGGATTCCTTTTGATACGAAATAGTTTATTGCTGTGATACGACAAAATCCTGTTTACTTAACGTGCAGGTAAATACATGATTGCTGTTGTTGGATGACCTTCTGGAATCAGTATAAGAACTAGAGAGGCTCTTGTTGATCCCTATTTTACCTGAACTGTGTTTTCAAGCCCTAATTGTTAGACAACATGTAGGGTTTTTAACAGTATTCATAAGCTTTGTCCTAGGGCTGTGAAAATACAAATTTGGGGCTTGAGGGGCCTTTTTGGCTTTCCATTTTACATGGCTTGTAGCTAGGAGCTTAGAAAAAAATCACTTTTACTTAGCTGTATTTCACATAAAATTGCATCAGAGTTCTCAGTACTTCAGATATCTATCCTCCTGAATCTTAATGGCCTCTAGTTCTGCAGTCTCTGGAAACATTTTTTCTAGCATTTCACTGTCTTTCTTTACTATTGGAAGGGTTTTCATTAACAAGTTTGTTACTTATGAGCTCTCTCTTCCTGTCCTAATACTCCCAGAGACAGAAGACAGGTTTGCTTTTCCCCTCTGTATCTTACCTGTTGTATGGTAACTGCTGAGTCATGGCCTGAATCACTGATTGAGCACTTGGGGAAAAGACCTGCTTAGCCCCCGGAGCACAGGTGAAGGCAATTCAGCTGTGTGACCCAAAGGGGTGGAGCCTGACTGTACCTCTCTTAGACCTCATTTAAGGGCTGACTGCCACTGGGGAAGAATCTCTGGTTGGAGATCCCTCCCTTGTGGAGTTTTTCCTATGAGACTAGATCTTTGGAGATGGGTGAACACTTTTCCTTTGAGACACCAGTCCATCCACGCTAGTCCCTTTGCTGTTATACTTCTGTATTGCTCTTCTACTGCATTTATCTTTCTGATTGTAACACCTGTTTTGAACACTGTTATTTGTATGAGTTGCAGTTGCTAATGGTGAAATCCAATTTCTTGCTCTAGAACTTTTACCGCAAGTAAACGTGCTGTTAAAGTGCTCAGGTAGCTTCAAGCATTGCTTGGAACAGAAGTAGGGGAAGACAGCACCAGTGTGACTTTATTTACAAAATATAAGCAGGGTGACATACAGCATGGCAGCAGCTGGGGTTAGATGTGTGTACTGATGCTGTGAAGCAGGGAGCAAGAAACTCAGGAAAACATATATAATGATGTCTACTGGGACCGTAATTTTAATGGACCATAGTAAGTTTGTAACTTTTAATGAGTGTTTCTCTGACATTAACCCAAATAGTGTTAATCTATTTCAACCATAGGTCACACCAGTTATGGAATAACACTTCTGAGTTTGAAGATTAGTGAAGTGAAGATTAGTGATTTGTCTCCCTGGTCTGCATGTTGTCTTTTTCAATGCTACTCTTTGTACGTTGGAACCGTTGAACCATTGTTGGAGCATTTTATATACCAATCTTCTTCTATAGTATTGCAATTACAGAAAGCGTTACGCTTTTTGATGTAAGTTAAATAAAAGCTTAAAACTATAAAAGTCCTTTCTTCCAAAAATTAATGACCAAGTACTGTACCTAAAATAAGAAGTGCTTTGATATGAGATGCATTTGTTGGCTTTGATTCATTTTGATATTATCTGGTGCTATTAAAGGGACTATTCTCCTTTTGGCTGGGGTTGACTTGCAGTCAGCCTGACTTATCCGACTGCAAGATAAGAACTCACCTAGGAGCTTAGCCTGGCTTCCTCTGTCACTGAGACAGGCACTAACATGATTCATCTTGCATGTTTTCAGCAGCAAGTCTAAGGTAAGACATTGCAGTCCAGAAGCATTTTCCTTCCTCCTATTCTCCACACCCAGGACTTAAGATTCACTTTGAATAAGTGTTTGATTTTCGAATAATCACCTTGAGATGGCATAGAATGAATCTATACTGTTTAGGAAGAAGGTAATGTTAACTCCAGAATATTTGAAAGCTAGTACTGTGATCTAGTTGAAACTTAATTATTGCTAGGCCTATTTTGAATAACGTGCTTTGGTAGTGGCACTCCATAACCTTTATTTTACTTACATGCTGCTGGTTCCATTACTAGCTCATGAGAAGTTAGTGTTTTTTTTTCTTTTTGCTGTGTCGATAGGCCATCTAAAAATATTTGCTTAGCTTGTATTACTTATGGTATCTCTTGGACGGCACTTGCTTGAGATAAATAAAATGTGGTCAGTTTACACAGATTAAAAACATGTGATTTGAAACAAACATGCATTTAAGAAAAGGAGACATTTGGAACTTGTTAGTTTTGTGAGCATTTCTTGCAAATAGATGTAATTCTAATAGTCTTGAGGATCTATGCAAGGAAAAGAAGGACTTTCTTTCTTGACCTGTGAAGGAGAATGATTGGCAAGTATTGGGACTTAATTTGTTGGAAAACAAGTGATCTCATGGTTTAAATGGCTTTGTCAGTGAGTGCGGTAAGAATTATGAAGACGCAAGTCACAGGATATGAAATAAATTTGGTTCCACATCATTTGGTTATCATAAATGTTTTCAGTAATGCACTTACTCTAGTATTTTCTGTGTTGATGTACAGTAACATCTGTTGGTCAGAGAAGTCCAATTTTTAATAATTGTCTTGACGAGGCACAAAAAGATCAAGTAGCTTGTTCAAGGTTGCACAGAGTGAGATTTAGTTTGTGTTTGCAAAAAAATATTGCCTGGATTCCAGCCTTCTACTTAGCTGTTAGAGCTCTTATTCTCCTTAATATTTAGAACTGGTTCCATATAGCACATGATTAAAGTGGCTATGGCTACAGCTTCAAGAAACGCTGTTATTTGAGTAGGAACTTGAAGCACTTCTATTCAGAGTGCCAATTAAAGATATTAGATAGAAAAGTAAACAAAGCATGATCTTGTAATGTATATCTCTAATTAAATGGGAAAGCTAAGCTTGCATCTGCTAACAGCATAATTACTAATATGCAGTATTCTAATACAGCTGAACAAAAATATTTTTACATTTTTTTTCCACTCAACCAGGGATAGAAAAAAATCAACTCATGTATTTTTTTTTTTTGACAAACAGAGCTGGGAATTTTAAGAACATGATACTCTTCATCTCTTAAATTTTTTATTTACTTACAGAAAGATGTTTCACTTTGAGGTATTTTTGTGATTAAAAATAGTTCTCTGTGAAGAACATTTTGTGAGTTTTAAAAAAAATATGTGATGTTGCAAAATCTAAAATATGTTCCATGCTTATTCCCACTACATCTTTTTTGGCAAAATACTGCTTGCATCAGCTCACAGCCCGGTGAGTTGGTACAAATGTGTAATACCTGTATTCAAATCATAAAAGCATTTAAATGGCATCAACAGATCAGAATAAAGGTTCTTTTTATTGTCCTCTATCTCCAGTGGTGACTTGGAATGAGGTGGAGCAGTACCAGCCCCTCTGTTCTCTCCTGGCTCTGCATGATGGAAGGGACCAGGCATAGCTGAACCTTTCTTCGTATTACAAAGAGATGTTGCTTCACCACAGTTTTTTGAGATAAGCACTCCTAACCTATCCTACAAATATCTGCAATGATGCTCAGTTTGTCTCAATGTATATTTTAAAATGTTATTTACAGACTTATCCCAGAGATAATGTCATGGTTTTTAGCTTGCACTGTTTCAAGCTTTCTATTCTTCAGGTCTGTTTAGAATCATTTTCATTTGGAAAACTTATAGTGCATTTGAGTTTGCTGCCCACACAGTAATATCTAGACCATGACAGAAAGAACATTCCATTTGAGTTGTCTTTAATTTACTGTTTTTTTTTTTTTTCCACTCTTTCAGTGTACATAATTTAGTCTTGTTTTTAATCTCCTCAATTCAAGGCTAGTCTGCAATAAAATCTTGAGTCCTCAGATACTGCAGTGATAGGACAGAAAAAAGTGTAGGTGTTTGTACTACATTAATATTCCAAATAAAAACAAACCAAATACCTTGGTGGCTCTTGCGCCATATCAATTTATGTTCCCTGGTTATTGTGGCAGATTAGAAAAATTAGAGAGGAAGTTCCAATAAAAAATATCTGTTGCAGTCATAAAGCTTTTCCTGTGTATACAACTTATTTTTCCCAGTATCAGAAAATGAGAAATAATATATAAACAATTGTTTAATTTTAAGCGTAGTATTGGCAGCTTCTCTCAATGATCTCTAAGATGTTCAGCTTCATCATGTGTCAGGGACTGGGCATTAATGCCAAAGAAATAGGCAGGATTATTCCTTAACTACCCTGGGCACCCAGCTTACTGATATATTTCTCTGTAAGTACACACATAGTGTGAAGTTGTTACAGGATGGGGCGCTGCCAGTGCAGAGATGTGTGTATAAATGGGACCTTGACATTGCAGAGCATATTCTTTTAAAATGTTGCCGCCTTCACTTTATCCATTTGAACACTTGGATACCTTAAAAGTAGATGTAGAAGGACTGGGAGTGCTGTAAGAGTCTTACATCAGAAAGGAAGGGAGAGGAAGAAGGTACGGTATTAAGTATGGCAAGGAAAGGTGATTGGCTCAAGCAATGCAACGTATGGAGACTCTAGTCCAGATCTTTCCTGAGATAGTCAGCTGGCCAAGAAGAAAATATGTTACACTTTTGGTAGCAAATAGTCCTGCCAATTTAAAACATTCCAGAATTGTGAATCAGGCCCCTGAAAACACAAGATTAGGAAGAAAAGGAAACCATGAGTATTTGGAGCTATTTGTATCCTGTTCTTTGAATCTTTACTGTATGTTATGGACGTACTTACAGTTTTCTTCCACATCCTTTAGAAAAGCAGGTACTGCTTTAAAAACTTATATTTTTATGAGGTAACACAACTTGAAGAACTTACGCTTTTTGGAAACTCCTGGACATCAGAAACTTTGATAATATGTTCAAAAGGTTTAACAATAATGAATAAAAGAACATCAAAATGAAGTAGAAAGGCTTCATAAAGGTTGAACTGCATCTCTCAGTGAGTTGACTTGTGTTGTTACTGAAATTAAAGCAAGCCTGGCCAGATGAGAGGAGATTGTAAAGATTTTATTGATTAACCTTTTACAGGGAACACACATTTCATTTTTCCTGGTAAAACAGAGCAGGCTCCAAAGAGTAAAATGCGATGATTTAGAAAATGCTCAAAGGAGAAGCAATGACAGGATTTATGGCGTTCCTAGAAATGCAGAAAATAACAAAAATCTGGAAACGTTGGTCCATCACTCACACAATCCTTGCATTTTGATTGTGTTTTATAAAGGTCTTATAGGGCAGGAGTACAAACAGCCTCGGCTCCAGCTAGGATACATAGCTTTCAGTTTCCAGAATTACCAAGCTCAGCAATATATATATTTTCTTAATAGACAGTCAGGAAGAACAATGAAGAACTGTATAAGAATAAAATTATCTGTTTTGATGACAATTACTACCCTGAAGTTTAGAAAATTTGGAGGCACATTAGAGCTAAGCAAAACCAGCTTAGGAAAAGGGGTAAGATTCTTCATTTCATAATCCTCCTCCAACCTCCCGCTTGACATTGCCAACAATTGAAACAGAAGCAGTGGAAGGATTAAACATCTGAGCCACAGTAATTAGACCAACTTCTAATGTTAAAGCAAATTCACCTGGATTTTGTGGAGGCAGGGTGCCTGAGATATCTCAGGACTGCTGAAGGAAGAAGCAGGAAGAAATGAATTGTGAAAAACAGAAATACTCTGCTGTGTTCAGGGAACAAAAAGGACACCCAGTGGAGGATGTGCAAAGCTATTTTTTCTAGGAGGCAGTGTTCCTGTATCCAGACCTGTGGAGGAACTTCCAGAAGCCTTCAGGCTGTTTGAGGTTATGCATTATCTGGCAATGAAGGGCCCAAATGAGTGGCTGGGAATCAGCTTAGAGAAATGCTGTCTTCTGTGGAAGCAGTAAAAAGAAAAGGAAATTCTGAACATAAACTTTCATTCTCTAGTGAGTACTGGAGGACTCCTATCAAGCTGTACTATTTCCTTGCAGGCTGGCTATGCTGGGCTTAAGAGCAATGTTTTTGGGTCATGAAGTCACACTGAGAAAGTGGGCAGGGAAGAACACCATGTTCCACCAGAATAGGTTTAATAACCAGAAGTTAAGCGGTGGTATTTTGAATAGTAGGAAGGGCAATAACTGACAGGATGAAGATATTAAAGGATGAGAGTTTCTATTGGGCAATATGTGAAAGGAGCTACTGATAGGAAAAGGGGAAATACTGATAGGGCAGAGGAAAATATGGGCTGGATAAATCTACCCCAGATAATTTAGAGTTGCATTCTTCCTCTCACTTTAGTTCTTATTCTCAAAAACAAAGAGGCAAGGATCAGTAACTAAAGTAAAGACTATTGCAACATTCTGAGCTGTTTACCCTTCATATTCTTTTACTACAAAATGAAAGCTGTTAAGGAAGCTTTCTGGGAAGTCAATTCTTTGCCTAATTTACTGTTAAAAATAGTAGTTGTAGCTCTTAGCCTACTAATCTCTCTGAAGCCAGGCAGATTTTCTGCCCAAATGAATCTGAGCTCATGGACAAGAGATTTAAGTTATTTGTTTATCCTAGCCGAGATTTTTTGCCAGGTCAGCATGGCTCTTTACCTGGAAAAACAAAATTAATGATGGCTATGTTATTACACTGTGCTGGATACATTTGTACTGCTCTTTCAGTAAGTTAAACCTGAAACTAAGGAGTTGCATCTTTTTTTTCCCGCAAGTTTCCTCTTTCTCAATGCCTTTGCCAGCAGAGATAGGTCCATACTTACACCTTAATAAATTCCACAGCC